TCTAAAGCTGAAGTTGAAAGTTTCAGTTGATTGAAAATGAAAAAAACTGCTCGTTATCAGGGCAATGCCTCAATTGTTCCGACTGCCGTGTAAGGTTCAAGGAATAAGTCATTTGTTAAGCAAGAAAGATTTTTTGAAAATTTTTCCTCCGCACGCTATGTGGAATACAAATTGGCAATTAGTGTCTAGCAACATGTTAATAGCTGGTGAGGTTCCCCATGATGGAGGGACCAATTGTTGGAAATTTATTTACAGTTTTTTTCGTCTAATCAGAATTGAGAATTCAAATTCTCGAAGAAATCGCTAAAATTTCAATTTAGGCAAAAATATTCAGGCCATCGAAACTAAAACTGACCGATTGCAAAATAAATTTTAAATTTGTGTCAGATCTAAAACACATTGAAAAAAACTTCTTACAAAAGGTGCGGATATTATAAAATTGTAAAACTAAGTTTAAAAAATAATCGATTTCCGCACGAATTGTACAGCTAACTTCTTGAAAATACTTTTTTGAAAGGAGTTTTTATACAATATGATAGACATGGATATTGTGAACTCAAAATTATAAAGGTATCTGTATATCTATACTAAATTTAAATGCTAGTGACAGCTATCTCCCATATTCAAGCTTAATAATTTTGCATGTTTAACGAAAGAATTTTTTCATGTTTAAGCTATATAGTGCAATGCTGAATAATTAATGACTTTTCGGAAAACTAATTCAAAAATTTTCTTAAGCATTGCACTGTTTTCCGCAAAGTAATTAATCTTTTATTAAGTTTTTCGAGGCCAAACTAAGTCTGTCTGTCTGTCTGTCTGAATACCTGATTTTTTAATTAATTTGAATATGTCATTATGTCTTCATTTTTCTATCTTTATTTTTTGTCTTTGTTTTTCTATTTTTTTTGTTCTATCTTTAGTTTTCTATCTTTATTTTTTTATCTTTCTTTTTCTATCTTTCTTTTTCTATCTTTATTTTTCTATCTTTCTTTTTCTATCTTTCTTTTTCTATCTTCTTTTTTCTATCTTCCTTTTTCTATCTTTCTTTTTCTATCTTTCTTTTTCTATCTTTCTTTTTCTATCTTTATTTTTCTATCTTTATTTTTCTATCTTTATTTTTCTATCTTTATTTTTCTGTCTTTATTTTTCTATCTTTGTTTTTCAATCTTTGTTTTTCTATCTTTGTTTTTCTATCTTTATTTTTCTATCTTTCTTTTTCTATCTTTCTTTTTCTATCTTTCTTTTTCTATCTTTATTTTTCTATCTTTATTTTTCTATCTTTATTTTTCTGTCTTTATTTTTCTATCTTTGTTTTTCAATCTTTGTTTTTCTATCTTTGTTTTTCTATCTTTATTTTTCTATCTTTCTTTTTCTATCTTTCTTTTTCTATCTTTCTTTTTCTATCTTTCTCTTTCTATCTTTCTTTTCCGATTTCCCAGTTTGATCTCAGTAGTTATTCCACTGAGTTTTAAAACAGCAGCCCAATAGTGGGATGCTGTCACGGTTCACAAAGTGGTTGCGAATTCGGCCTCCAATTAAGAATGCTAAAATTTTTCAGAAAAGTCAAATAACAAAGTAATTTACAAAACTTGAAATTGCCAACCCTATAGTTAGGTGCTGTCAGAGTACTCTCAAGGATTGCGAATCTTGCCTCCAAATGAGACGACTCAAATCGTTGTAGTTTTCGAGATCGACATTTTCTGTGATTTTTCAAAAATTTTCCAGAGAATCTATCAATTTTTTTTAAATTTGAAATTCGGAACCTTGTAAATGGGGGTTACCAGAGTACTCTCAGGAGTTTGCGATCCTTGCCTCTAATTTTGATTCCTCAATTTTTTGTAGTTTTCGAGATATGACGTTTTTTGTGATTTTTCACAAAATTTTCAGAAAACTTGAGGATTTTTTTTTCAAATTTGAGAGTATAAATCCTATAGTTAGGGGCTATCAGAGTACTCTCAGGGTGTTGAGAACCTTGCTTCCAATTATGACTGCACAAATTTTTGTAGTTTATGAGATATGACGTTTTTTGTGATTTTTTTCTAAAAAATCTCAAAAAAACTCATTCGTTTTTTTTCTTCAGTATTTGAAATTCCCAGCCTTGTAGTTGGGGGCTGTCAGAGTACTCTCATGGGTTGTGAACCTTGCCTCCAATTATGACTGCTCTAATCTTTAAAGTTTTCCAGATATGACGTTTCAGTGATTTTGTCAAAGTTTTTCAGAAAACGAAATTTTTTTTTTTAAATTTGAAGTTCCTAGCCCTGTAGTTGGGTGATGTCTGGGTACTCTTAGGGGTTGCGAATCTTGCCTCCAAATATGATTGCTCAAATCCTTCTAGTTTTCGAGATATGAGGATTTTTTCTATGATTTTTCCAAAATTTTCAATTAACTTACGCTTGAAAAATTTTCAAAATGTAAATATCCCAACCCTGTAATTGGGTGCTGCCAGGGTACTCCCAGAAGTTGTAAATCTTGCCTACAAATATGACTACTCAAATATTTGTACTTTTCGAGAGTTGATTTTTTCGAAATGACGAAAAATAGGAATTTTATAAAATATCACATTACCAGCCAAATAATTGGGCGCTGTCAGAGTACACTAAAAGCCTGCAGATGTGGTTTCCAATGTATGCGGTTTTTCATGAGTTGTCAAACATTCGAAGCACAGGAGGTGCGTTAAACGCTAGTTTCACTTAAGACCAGTTTTTGTAAATTTACGGGTTTTTGAGAGTTGTCAATATGGGTCAATGAACACGGCATAGTTTTCGTGCTACATATTAACGCGTAAGCGGCTTTTTATTGACGCGGCTATTTAATGTTCCGACTTTTGAAGAGAACGAAATATAAATGATCGGTGTGGTTTTTTTAATCAATTTTCGCCGATCGAAATAAAAGTTTTGGACAAAACTTTTTATACCCCATTGAAGATATCGACTTCCTGAGTTCAAATTTAAAAAAGATATTTCACCTCCGATCATTTTTGTAAAGTTCTGGTGGTTTGAAAATTGCCAAATTGGCCTTGTTCTGGACTAAATTGTGCGCGCTTTGAAGCATTTGTTCATATTGCTGAGAGCGTAACTCGCATTATTTATACGTGGCGGATTATCCCACACAACAAAATAGTTCCAAATTGAATTGAGGCTAGCTAATCCGATCGGTCGTATTAATTTTGTACGATGCAACATTTCACACTTTGATATTGTCCAAAAATTATAGGTTTCAATATTTTTTCCCAAAAACTATTCGATATGAATTGTGGGACAGTCGGAACATTCAGGGCTTTGTCCTGATATTGAGCAGTCTTGTTCCGCTAAGAGTTTCTTTCAAATTGACTCGAGCCTAGCTATTTTGTGTTATATATGAGTCGCTAGGTTTGAACTGAATGTGTAGCAAAAAGTAGACCAACCATAAAGTAGACGCGTCAAAAAGTAGACAAGTACTGCCTTAGCCAATCAGAATCGAACAAATATAGGAAATAAATAGTTACTTTTTATTCTTGCTTGCGTTTGTTTTTCTATCTCCATTCTGATTGGTCAATAGTTGTATTTGTCTGCTTTTTAACCGGTGTGAAATAAAGGTTGTCTACTATTTGACCGCACATCCAAATGAGTTTAACATAGCGTGTGGCAAAAGATTTTCAAAAGAAATTCGAAATATTTAAAATTGATCATCGTTTCTTGAAACCATGTTTTTTTAAAAAAAATATTCCATAGATCTGAATGGGCCGTCGGAACAATCAGCAGGAGTTTGTTCATGATAGAATTCTACATTTTATTTCATTTTTTTGGCGTCAGAAACTTATTTTTCTCATGCTAATTATCAAAGAAGTTGATTTACAGAACTCAATCTGAGTTGATAATTTGGTGACTTTTAGAGCTCTTATTGAGTATATTCAAAGCCCACATGTCAACCTGCTCCTGTTGTCCGAAAAACGACTTAAGTATATAAAAAATAACAAAAATTATGGGAAAAAGTTTTATATTTAAGAGATCTGCCGTTGGTAACGGCGCAAATTGGATCTACTTAACAATTGCCCCCCCCCCCTTTGGTATCTACTTAAGAATTGCCAACCGTATTAATAAAAGCAGTAAGTTAGCACTGAGCTTTCTATTGAGAATTAGAATTTTGGTGCATTCTGATTGTTCAAAAATGCGTTATTTCAATCTACTTAACAATTGCCCCCCTTTCTTAAAAGGGGGGAGGGAAGGCAATTGTTAAGTAGATCCCGCAAATAATTTAACGAAAAAAAAATCAATGCAAATCATCGGCTGAAGTTCATTTTTAATTTTTTGACTGATTGAAACCCCACTCATTAGATTCAATTTGAATGCTAATCGATACGATAAACGCTTTGTTAGTAGCATCTTTACTGGATATTGTTTTGTATTATTTACTGGATTATTTTTTTGAAGCATATTGTTTTTTCAAACTGAATATGTCAAATAAAGTAATGTTTGTATGAAATGTAGTACTTTCCTTATTTGGACACTAATTTCTTTCCATTTTTCTTTAGATTAGCCAGTTATTAATTTAGCCGGCATAGTTTTTTCTATCAATTTAAGTTTATCAGCTAAAAACTATCTGCGCAATAATATTTTTACTAGTCATATCTGTTTATTTTCATGTTCACTTGCCGTCTTTTGGAAAATGCCCCCTTTTGGAAGTTATTTGGAGAATATTCGAATATATGTGTATTTTATTTATCAGCTTCCATACTTAGTTTTATCGTTTTACAGTTTTAGTAGAATTAACTCGGCCAGGAGTGTTAATTGTGAGTTGCTTAAAAGTGAGATACACTGTGGTTTTTTAATTCACTTAGTTTAATAATTATAAAAGCTATGAAGTGGTTAACTGACTTGAATCTGAAAAGTTGAATCTGAAATACAAGAATTGTTCATAGCTATTCAAAAAAGATTTTTTATATCAACTACCTTGCTTTGAATTTGAAATTCTCACTGCCTGATAAGTGCAATTTAGCATATTGCTTTCTTTCCATATTTCAGATTCAAAGGAGGGAGATGTGGCGACAGTGTTGTCTTCGGATGGGCACGCGGGGGTGCAAATCACTGGCAATGTGCAGCTACTCGCTCAGATTGAGGTGAGCCACCCTCTAGTCAACAAAAAGTATAACTTAATCATTGAAGTTGTGTAACTATTCAGCTAGATACCACAATCTAGTAACCTCTTTCCTTGCTATGTACTGATGTTTTTGACGTCAAAGGGTTCACTAGGTGCTTGATTTGTGCAGTTCGTTACTTAGATGGTAGAAATGACATTATCACTAACTTCAAATAACGAAAAAAAACTGGAGATATGTTAGTTTCCAAATCTTGTTTGTTGGTGTCTTACAAATTAAATCTCTGCTTCAATTATCTGTTCTTTCTTAGCAAGTTGCTTCGGAGAAGGACAAGCTGGAGACTGAGCTTACCAACCTGCAATCCGAAATGGTGCAATTGAAACGCGAAAATGACGTAAGTGCTTAAGAACGAGAGGATCTGTCTAGTAATTCAAACTGGTACAATATAGTGTGTGGTTTCGTTTTCGTTGAGTTCATTTACGTTTTTCCAGCTGTCTTGGCTATGTTATAGTTGAATTCCGTAAATTTGTTCTCGATCACCAGCTGATTTTTTTTTGGGGGGGGGGGGGCTGACGCCCCTTCTACTTAGGAATTCGACCCCCTGCCGATCCAAAGGGTACCCCCTTTGTACTATTTTTGAGATATCCATTTTTGGTGACGGACCCTAAACTTTTCGAAAGGCGCCAAAGTATACGAATTTTTGACAGGGGAGTGCGCGCTGAAAAACGCAATTTTTTGGTCAATATTTTCCAAAAGTGCCTTTTTTGCCTTTTCTCAAAATTCCCCTGCTCTCGATTATTGGTGTGCAGGTTTGACATAAGGGGAAGGGAGAAAAAGGAGCCCATTTTTTTTCAATTTGCAGACATTTATGCCAAGTTTATATATAGCCGGCGATTTTTAATGTGTATATCGTCAGTGAATTGTTGTATTTACCCTTGGACTCGTCGGAATTTTCGAGCGACGTTTTTTTGTGTAAAAAATGGATTTTTAAATTTTTTCCGCTACTTGTGTTTTCGCCGTGTTTATTTGGTTTTTGTTCCTGTCATTCCCGTACTGATCTAATTATTTAGTTATTTCGACTGTTTTTGAGTTTAGGGCAGCACCCTGCACTGCAATCCACAATCCGAGTTTGAAAATTTTGTGTTATTGTATTTGCTTATTATGATTTTTGTAACAACGAGAAATTAATTCATTTTCTTCTAAAACTGACATGAAAAGTGATTTTTGAAACCTGGACTTAATTCTCGAACTATGAAGGAATTAATGCCTTCCTTTTTCAGTATTTTTCAACTTCTGTGGATTTGAAATTTTGTCAACGAATTAAAATAAGAAAAAACCGTTACAAGCAATTCTTCTATTTTTCTGCGTTTCAGAGTTTGAAACAGGAGTCTGAGTGTATGGCTATGCAGAAAAGCACTTTTATGGAAAGTATGCAACTCCTGGAGACAGACAAACAGGTCAGCATCACATCGTTTTGATTAAGATTCACCTTTCATCCACGAGGGAAAGTAACCATATACCAGCTGTTTAATCCATGGCGGAAGACCGTTATTGTAAACCTGGTTTAAGAACTAAATGCCGTTTTTGGTTTTGTTGAGATGAGAATGGATGGCTTACTTGCACTCTTAGTCCAACAAATTATCTCACAAATTCGGCATATTTAAAGCGTGTCTTGGCAAAATCACAATAATGGAATTGGAAGTGTACTTTTAGAATCTGTCCAAAGAGTTGCAGCTGATGACAGCTGCCAGGGACGATGCTTTGAAGCAGTTGCAAGGCAATGGCAAAAAGAACAAGAGGAAAGAAAACTCACAGGCCAAAATCGAAGTGAGTTTTTGACAATCTGACATCGAAGTCGAACTTAATTTTTTGTCATTTGAACGTTGTTTTCTTCGCGCGTTAAATTTGAGTTTCTTTTGACATATGCATGTAGAATAGCACGATTTAAAAGCTCTCAATCTAAACTTCTGCTGTTCTAAATTGTATAATAGCTCATTTAAGCTTTTTCGATTGCTGTGAATTATTTTTCGATTGCTGTGAAAAATTATTTTCTCATTCAGGAATGGGTAACTGAAAAGGACGGACTCATGCTAGAAATGAAGAAACTGAGCAAAGATCTCGAGTACGAAAAGTGTATCATGTTGGACGAAAAAGAAATGTGGGCTCAGCAGAAACTCCAGTACGAGTCGGAACTTAGGACACTTAAGGAGCAATTGTCCTCTCTTGAACAGGAAAAACAGGAACTGAACAGCATTGTGGAGACTAATCAAAGTACTATTGAATCGCTTGAGCTAAAGGTTTTGACGGCTAATGAAATATTGGATAAGCAAAAAGTTGAACTTGAGGAACTAAAAAATAGAAGTGAAAATGATATCAAAAACAAGAAGAGTATCGCTGCAGAAAATACAGATCAATTTTCTGAATCCGATGAAAAACAGTTTGACGTTTGCAGAGATGAAGACGAAAATTTGAAGCTTCAAATTATTGACCTCAAGCAACAGTTGACAACTTGTAACAGCGAAAGAGCCAAACTAAGCGAGGCTTTGAAGCTCACAAAGCAAGCAAAAGAAGAAACAAAGGCGATGTTAGAAAACGAGAAACAACTTTTGTCCGAGAGGAACTTCAACTTACAGGCTACCAATACGTACTTGACCTCTAAAGTGATGTCTATGAGTCGACAGCTGGAAAGTATTCCTGAGGAACAAAGGTCGACACCTGAAGAGGAAATCTCAATCGATTCCATACCCAGTGAAGACAGTCCAGTTCCTGCTACTTCTAGCTCTAACTGCACCACACCTGTAAAGACAGAATCCCCTGCAGCGATGTCATCGTTATCTGCGACTCCGAACAACGAAAGCGTGGAAAGTAAATTAATATCAATCAATATTGTTCTAAGTCAGCTGGAAAAGGAAAAAGAGGGATTACTAAATGCATTGGAAACAGAAAAACTGCCTAGTTCGCCCATTGCCAATTCGGAAAACAACGCCGGAATCGAACCTGATTTGGTTGCGAGTTGTGACGTGGTAAGTTCGCCAATTCAACAAAACCAACAAGAAAACCAGCAACTATCGTCTCGAAGGGAAGAAGCGAGATCGTGTGAAAAATGTGATGATTATTTGAGCATGGTGTCTGAATTACGCAATGAGAAGGAATGTCTGTCATCGGAAGTTGAGGAATTACGTAACCACGAGTCTGACTTGATCCAATCTCAGAGTTCCTTAGAGCAGCGGCTTGAGGCATTGACAACTGAGAAAGAAAACATTTATAGTGATGTTAAAGGACTGATCAAGGATGTTGATAAATACGTGAAACAGAATGCTAAATTACAAGAGGAAAAAGACCATCTTTCAAAATCAGTCGAAGATTTGACGTCTAGCGCTGAGCTTGTGTCTGTTTTACAAGAAATTCTTAAAGCCGATAAGGTTCTGATAGCTGAAAAAGAAGAGCAAATATCGATATTAGAAGATCAAGTTTCGGTCTTACAAGACACTTGCAGCCAGTACAAATCTAAGCATACTGAAATGGAAGAAACTTTAACAGATTTTGATGAAAAGTTTTCAGCCATGGAAAAGAGCAGTTCTGAATTCCATGAAAAATCGCAAGAAGATAAAAATGAAACAGTAACTTTAAATGAGCAATTAGAATTATGTAGAGAAGGTTTATTTAAAATTCAAGACGAGCTCGACTATGAAAAGGAGCTAAGTAGTGTACTCCGGGATAAACTTTCCTTCCAGAGCGAACAGCTTGAATCGATCAAAGTTGAAAACGAATCATTGTTTAAAGAGTTACAAGAAAGTAAATTGCAGAATAGTTCGCGTGCAGAAAATCAAAATCAGGGTGAAGAAGTTGAACCTATGGTTGTTCAAGATAGTGAACAAACTGTTACTTCCTCAGCGGAACCCGAGTCTCAGGAACAAAGAGACTCTTTTTCAGAACAGATTTCGCAATTGAGAGAACAAATCGGGGCGCTTGAAAATGAACTAACTGGTAAGAATTCTGAGTGCAATGATCAGAGAACTGAGTTGGAACATTTATCCCAGAGATTCAATTTCCAAGTCACGCAAAACTCAGAATTGCAATCGCAGATTGAAGCGTTGAGTTCAGAAATTCACCAAATGAAAGACAATTTAGCAAGCACGGAGAAGTCTGAAAAAAGCGCTAATGAAATTGAAACATTGAAGAATTCTCTTTGTAAAAAAGAAGAAACAGTCCGTGAGCTTATTCAGACAAAAGATAAACTGAAAGAAGATATTTCCGCACTAAGAAGTGATCTTGAAAAGGTGTCGACTGAAAATGAATCGAACATTTCGAGTTTGGTGCATTGTAAGGAGCAAATTGAAGATTATGAAATAACCTGTCAAGAACTGAATGACCAAAATGCTGCGTTACAAGACGAATTGGCAAACAAAGTTCACCAGAGTTCATCACTAATGGAAACTATTGTGAACTTGGAATCGAGTCTTGCTGAGTTGGAATTGCAATATGAAAGGGTGCGTGATCAAAATACACAACTGGAGGAAAAAATGACGGAAGTTTTGGATCAGACGGCGTCTGAAAAATCGAAAATATCAGAAGAGATAGACAGTTTGAGAGAAAGCTCGTACAGCCGGGAAAACAGTTTCTCCGAACTGAAAACCGAGTATAAAGACTGCTCTGAAAAAATTGAACAACTTACAGCTCAAGTTGATGCATTGCAAAACGAAAAGAATAAATTATTGGACAAATTGGCAAGTAGCGGATCTGAAAGCTCACAAGAACTAGCGAAGAGCGAAAGCGAAATAGCAAATCTGCAAACGAGTGTCTCCGAACTTAAGGAGCAGAAAAGCAAAGTTTACGAAATGTACAAAGTGCTTGAAGTTCAAACCAGTGAAAAAGATCGCACTATTGAGGAGCTTCAGAACAAATCCATGGCATTGGAAAACAGTCTTCAGGAACTGACTTGTCGAAATGAGACACTGCAGAAATCTGTCACGTGGTTTTCAGAAAATATCGAAGATTTTAAATCACAGCTTCAAGAAGTTCGATTGGAGAATTCTGACTTGAAGGAGAGTTTGAGTGAATCTGAATCGGAACGAAACGAGATATGCAAAGAGGTTGACAATATGAAGTTTCAGTTTGAAGCGTGTAAAGATGCTGATGGTCGGTTGAGAAGCGAGCTCACAGAGTTAGAAACAAAAAAAGTCGAAATGACACATAAATATAATCTTTTGTCACAAGAAGTGGACCGATTTTTGTCCTCATTTATTGACGAAATCTCTGCACTTGTAAATATGGAAGAACCTGAAAACTTGACAGAAGTTCACGATAAAATTGTCTTTGTTGATTCTGAAATCAAAAAGGCGCTGTTTGAGTTTGCAGCGCAGTCTAAAGACACTCATCAGAAATTATCGCATGCCAATAAAAAATTAACTTCATTTGAGAATAGTTTGGAATCTCTTTTCGCTGAAATTGTTCGCAACGGAGAGCTAAAAGCGCAGTCAGATAAGGCAGAAGAAAAGGTCAAAGGTCAGATTGAAGGTATTTTGTGTGCTTGGAAAAGTGAATCAGAGGAAAAGGGGAAAATTTCGAACGAGAGAAAAGAGATGGAGGCTTCTTTGAAGAGGCTGGAGGAACAGTGCATGAGTGAGGGGTCCGAGAAAGAAAACAAATGGCTGCAACAGAAAAGTAAGATCGCAAATACAATATTGAAACGGTTTTCTTTCTGCAGCAATTATCGTGTACTGATAGATGTAACTTTCATGCCACCATTTTGTTCCAGAGGAACTTGAAGACAAGTTGTCTGAGTCGGAAAACAAAAACCAGAAGTTGAAGCAATTGGCGCTGAAGAGCAAAAAAGAAATACAGTCGCTTAAACTCAAGGTAAATAATCTATCCTTTAGTGAAATTTTTATGGAAGTCGGAACTTACTTAATAATTTGAGTCTTCTAAGCCAACTAATAAGTAACCCTTGATCTTTGAAGCAATTCATAAGGTAAACCGACCAAATATATCCCCTAAAACCCTATAAATACGACGCTATTTTTCTTTGCCCAAGGCGAATACATCTTTTAGTGTTGGTCGAATAAAAATGAGGCTATGAAATGATACCTTAGGGGGACCATGTGGAAATTTTTGGCAACCAATATGGGGGGTGGGCTTATTGTCGATTATGCTAAACATCTAGTACGTGTAGCATGAATATTATGCTCACGTATATGGTTAGCAATGAATCAGCTGGAGGATATCCGAATAGATTTATGACTACAATCCTGAGCTGAGAAAGAGTTTCTATGAAGCGCACGTGATCGCTTTGCTTAATAACCGTTCTCGGTGAATATTGTTCTACATGTCTGTTTTTTGTTCCGACTTTCGAAGAAAATGACTGAAGATTTGTGCTCGGGTTTTTTTTGCTGACAAATATCGACTGATTTACGGGCAATTTTGGAGAATTTTTGATCCAATTGAGATATATTATTGTCCTTAAGCTCAAAATTAGAAAAGTTTCTCATGTGACTATTTTTTGTTCCGACTTTGTTCCAAGAAAGTGTTATGCTTGGGGTGGGTTTTTTATTCATTCAATTTCCGACATTTTAACTCCGCGTTTTTGACGGAAAGGTTTGATACCACCTAAATGATATCGTTATCCAGAGCTCAGTTGTTAAAAGTTCACCTGAGACAATTTTGTTGTTAAGTTATGGGGCTATGAAAGTTGCTGGCAAATTTAGGATAATTAACGCGCGATACTTTGCGTTCTTTTAAAACGCGTCAGCAGCGGATTGAATCGTTCCAAATTGAAATGAGGCGAAGCATTTGGTTAGATTATTAGGATATGAGACACTGTATGCCCTTCATAATATACATAGCTCATAATTCGGTTTCTGTGGGTTCAACTTTTCCACCATTTTTCAGTCTATTTCCCCCTTTATCTTATTTTAACTTAAAATTACTTTTTCAATGTCAAACTTTGAAGAAAGTGCTTTGCATACACTGACTATTTTTTGGATAATGAAGAAGGGCAGTTGAGTTGCAGCAATAGTTTTGACTGTTTTTCAAAAACAAACGTGAACGAAACTAAATTTTGTAAGTGATTGGAATTTTTAGATTTTCCAACGTAATAAAAAAAGTTTTTCTATTAAACCTATTTTCTTTTATTGGGTTACTTTTTCTATAAAAAGTGTCTATTGTAAATGATTCTTGAAAACCTGCTTTTCTGCGGTGAGTTTTTTTATGAAAGTTGAAACTTTTCTGTTTGTCAAATTGTCTCACGCTTTCCGTTTTTCAGACCAGCTGGTACGAATATTGATGAGAGACTGAGCTTTTTACTTTATTACACGGCTACTATAACTGTCATTCTTAACGAATTTTGTAATTTGTGTAATCTCCTTTCACCGGAAAAAAAGAAACAGGAAACTTAGGAAAATGATATAACTCAATTTTTCTAATGTTTTCATTTTTCCCCCACATTTAAGGGTTTATTTATATCATGGTGTTCGCATAAGTCGTTGCTCAGCAACCGTCTACCTTTTTAAGCGTTTTTTGTCCAATTGATTTTTTTTTGTCCAATTAATTTTTATCCTTTTCGTTCAGACCACTGAAAGAGGGATGGAACTTGTTTTCGGATGTGTTTATTCTTCTTGATTTTTTTCCGAGCAAAATCAAAAATTATCATCGTAATATCTTAAGTGATGGATCAAATTAAAGCTCTTTTAGTAGTGATTTGAATGACATTTGTTTTAAAACCTTTTTGAAAATAGAAAGTTTACGAAAAAAAATTGAAGGTTTTTAATTTTCTTTTAAATCATTTTATCCATGTTCTTTTGTTGTAAATGTCAGATAAAGGAAAATCTCCTTTCACCGGAAAAAAGAAACAGGAAACTTAGGAAAATGATATAACTCAGTTTTTCTAATGTTTTCATTTTCCCCCACATTTAAGGGTTTACTTATATAATGGTGTTCGCATATTGGAGAATTTTTGATCCAATTGAGATATATTATTGTCCTTAAGCTCAAAATTAGAAAAGTTTCTCATGTGACTATTTTTTGTTCCGACTTTGTTCCAAGAAAGTGTTATGCTTGGGGTGGGTTTTTTATTCATTCAATTTCCGACATTTTAACTCCGCGTTTTTGACGGAAAGGTTTGATACCACCTAAATGATATCGTTATCCAGAGCTCAGTTGTTAAAAGTTCACCTGAGACAATTTTGTTGTTAAGTTATGGGGCTATGAAAGTTGCTGGCAAATTTGGGATAATTAACGCGCGATACTTTGCGTTCTTTTAAAACGCGTCAGCAGCGGATTGAATCGTTCCAAATTGAAATGAGGCAAAGCATTTGGTTAGATTATTAGGATATGAGACACTGTATGCCCTTCATAATATACATAGCTCATAATTCGGTTTCTGTGGGTTCAACTTTTCCACCATTTTTCAGTCTATTTCCCCCTTTATCTTATTTTAACTTAAAATTACTTTTTCAATGTCAAACTTTGAAGAAAGTGCTTTGCATACACTGACTATTTTTTGGATAAGGAAGTAGGGCAGTTGAGTTGCAGCAATAGTTTTGACTGTTTTTCAAAAACAAACGTGAACGAAACTAAATTTTGTAAGTGATTGGAATTTTTAGATTTTCCAACGTAATAAAAAAAGTTTTTCTATTAAACCTATTTTCTTTTATTGGGTTACTATTTCTATAAAAAGTGTCTATTGTAAATGATTCTTGAAAACCTGCTTTTCTGTGGTGAGTTTTTTTATGAAAGTTGAAACTTTTCTGTTTGTCAAATTGTCTCACGTTTTCCGTTTTTCAGACCAGCTGGTACGAATATTGATGAGAGACTGAGCTTTTTACTTTATTACACGGCTACTATAACTGTCATTCTTAACGAATTTTGTAATTTGTGTAATCTCCTTTCACCGGAAAAAAAGAAACAGGAAACTTAGGAAAATGATATAACTCAATTTTTCTAATGTTTTCGTTTTTCCCCCACATTTAAGGGTTTATTTATATCATGGTGTTCGCATAAGTCGTTGCTCAGCAACCGTCTACCTTTTTAAGCGTTTTTTGTCCAATTAATTTTTTTTTGTCCAATTAATTTTTATCCTTTTCGTTCAGACCACTGAAAGAGGGATGGAACTTGTTTTCGGATGTGTTTATTCTTCTTGATTTTTTTCCGAGCGAAATCAAAAATTATCATCGTAATATCTTAAGTGATGGATCAAATTAAAGCTCTTTTAGTAGTGATTTGAATGACATTTGGTTTTAAAACCTTTTTGAAAATAGAAAGTTTACGAAAAAAAATTGAACGTTTTTAATTTTCTTTTAAATCATTTTATCCATGTTCTTTTGTTGTTGAAAATGTCAGATAAAGGAAAATCTCCTTTCACCGGAAAAAAAGAAACAGGAAACTTAGGAAAATGATATAACTCAGTTTTTCTAATGTTTTCATTTTTTCCCCACATTTAAGGGTTTACTTATATCATGGTGTTCGCATAAGTCGTTGCTCAGCAACCGTCTACTTTTTTAAGCGTTTTTTGTCCAATTAATTTTTATCTTTCTCGTTCAGACCACTGAAAGAGGGATGGAACTTGTTTTCGGATGTGTTTATTTTTCTTGATTTTTTTCCGCGCCAAATCAAAAATTATCATCCTAATATCTTAAGTGATGCATCAAATTCAAGCTCTTTTAGTAGTGATTTGAATGACATTTGGTTTTAAAACGTTTTTGAAAAAAGAAAGTTTACGAAAAAAAATTGAACGTTTTTAATTTTCTTTTAAATTATTTTATCCATGTTCTTTTGTTGTTGAAAATGTCAGATAAAGGAAAATCTCCTTTCACCGGAAAAAAGAAACAGGAAACTTAGGAAAATGATATAACTCAATTTTTCTAATGTTTTTATTTTCCCCCCACATTTAAGGGTTTACTTATATCATGGTGTTGGCATAAGTCGTTGCTCAGCAACCGTCTACCTTTTTAAGCGTTTTTTGTCCAATTAATTTTTTTTTGTACAATTAATTTTTATCCTTTTCGTTCAGACCACTGAAAGAGGGATGGAACTTGTTTTCGGATGTGTTTATTCTTCTTGATTTTTTTCCGAGCGAAATCAAAAATTATCATCGTAATATCTTAAGTGATGGATCAAATTAAAGCTCTTTTAGTAGTGATTTGAATGACATTTGGTTTCAAAACCTTTTTGAAAATAGAAAGTTTACGAAAAAAAATTGAACGTTTTTAATTTTCTTTTAAATCATTTTATCCATGTTCTTTTGTTGTTGAAAATGTCAGATAAAGGAAAAACTCCTTTCACCGGAAAAAAGAAACAGGAAACTTAGGAAAATGATATAACTCAATTTTTCTAATGTTTTCATTTTCCCCCCACATTTAAGGGTTTACTTATATCATGGTGTTCGCATAAGTCGTTGCTCAGCAACCGTCTACTTTTTTAAGCGTTTTTTGTCCAATTAATTTTTATCCTTCTCGATCAGACCACTGAAAGAGAGATGGAACTTGTTTTCGGATGTGTTTATTTTTCTTGATTTTTTTCCGCGCCAAATCAAAAATTATCATCCTAATATCTTAAGTGATGGATCAAATTCAAGCTCTTTTAGTAGTGATTTGAATGACATTTGGTTTTAAAACCTTTTTGAAAATAGAAAGTTTACGAAAAAAAATTGAAGGTTTTTAATTTTATTTTAAATTATTTTATCCATGTTCTTTTGTTGTTGAAAATGTCAGATAAAGGAAAATCTCCTTTCACCGGAAAAAAGAAACAGGAAACTTAGGAAAATGATATAACTCAATTTTTCTAATGTTTATATTTTCCCCCCACATTTAAGGGTTTACTTATATCATGGTGTTCGCATAAGTCGTTGCTCAGCAACCGTCTACTTTTTTAAGCGTTTTTTGTCCAATTAATTTTTATCCTTCTCGTTCAGACCACTGAAAGAGGGATGGAACTTGTTTTCGGATGTGTTTATTTTTCTTGATTTTTTTCCGCGCCAAATCAAAAATTATCATCCTAATATCTTAAGTGATTGATCAAATTCAAGCTCTTTTAGTAGTGATTTGAATGACATTTGGTTTTAAAACCTTTTTGAAAATAGAAAGTTTACGAAAAAAAATTGAGCGTTTTTAATTTTCTTTTAAATTATTTTATCCATGTTCTTTTGTTGTTGAAAATGTCAGATATGCGAAAGTTTCGGGCGTTTGTTCAGTTCCTTTCATCTCTCGATAAACAAGAAACGACAAACTACACAATGTAGAAAAAAAACTTTCTACGAGATTTTGTTGTAGTCCGTACTTCTTGTGCTAATTGCACAGTAACCGGCTATCCTTGTTATGTTGTTTTTTTTACTTGTGTTAACTAGGTTGCTTATAATATATTGTTGCTTGTATGCTAACTGAATCAAAAAAACTGAATTTTTATAACGATTAATTTCTAATGTAACCTCAAATTATACCAATATTCAGAATAGTGGGACTTCTCTGCGTTCTCGTTAAACAAAAACTTGCTTCAAAAAGTTCATTTAGGAATTTAAAATTGGTGCGAGTATTTTGGTATTAATTTACTATTTCCTCTCATCTTTGTCCTCCAACACATCTCTCAACCGGTTGAACTGTCTCTTCCCACTGCTGTAGTCCTGCAACACTAACTGCAGACTGCCATGTTGCGAGTTGAATATCTTCAGCTCTGCCTGCTGCTCCTCGTATGTCTTCTTCATACTCTCTCTTTGGCTCTTACTCGCCTCGTACACGTTCTCCTGTCGTTGCTCCAGAAGACGCTTCTCCCGCTCCAAGTCCCGAATTTCCTGCTGCAGATCTACAAGCCAAAGATCAATCGGACTTTACACGTATTTTAGTAACAAGCACAAGGTTGTGGTAATAATTATTATAATCAATCAGGCCAGAAAACCTATTTTTCTACGACAAACATCGATTTAAATTAAACTGCTCCTTTTGTTTTGTATTTGGGTACTTGACTTTTTTTGTTAACCCCTTTGCTAACCAAAAAAAGCACGCGCGATTCAGAAAATTTCAAATACACTGATAGTTTCTGCATATTTGGCCTGAAAGTAACAACGATGCTTGGTGCGACAAGGGTTTTGGGTTCGAGTCCTGTCGGGGAGTCAATTTTTCAAACTGAAAATTTTTTTCTTGAGCAAAAAACGTTTGGGCTATCATTTGCTGTTTACTTTTATAGTCTTGCTTTCCATTTTTTTGGTTTATTTCTGTAGTTTGTTAGCTTACCACCTATGAGCGTGTATCATTGCAATTTATTTTACTACATATTTTATAGGTTTCTTTGATTTAAAAGGTTTTAGCTTATGTTTATCGGTCTAGTTGCCTCATATTGCGTCGTTTGAATTGAGGGATAAATATATTTTTTCAGGCATTTCTGCCTCAGGTAAAGTCTCGTAAACCTATAGTTTTAGTATCAAAACTTTTTATAGCTCAAAATTTTCGACTAACTTCCATGCTTTGTGTACCGCAAGTGGTTGGATTTTGATTATCTTCAATTCAAATTCATTTGCTGAAAGGAAGGCAAAATACGATCTCCATGCATGAAAGTGCAAATAAAGTGAATGAATATGGTTCATTTTATCAAGAAAAGTCAATCATAAAATTTTCTGGAAATTCTGGTAATATATTTTATTTCTTTGAAACTCGACGAAAATCAAAATAGTTTCAGGTAAAAAATCAATCTTATGATCATCAACACTTTTTCAACTAGCTGTTGGCTTTGCTTAACTTTTCTATTGAGTTCAGATTTTCATCAATATTCACCATGAACTTTTGTCACAAAGACTTTTACCTTGTATTCGTTGTGCCATGTGTTTTGTCTCAGTGTCTATCTGCTGGGCCCTCTCGTTGCCCAGACTCTCGGCCGCATGCAAGGAACACTTGAGGATGTTGATACTCCCCTCCGCTTCTTGTCTAACTCGCCACAACAAGATTCCCCTCTGGGAACAGTCCAATGTGACCTATTCTAAGCACAAAAATGTCATTTTTTGAAGTTGCGATCGGTGGTATTTTAAACTTAGTTTTCGAGAATATAGCTTGTAACATGATAGCATAAAACATAAAACAACCTGTCTTAGAATCTCATCAAACAAGTCACTGAATATCTTCCTTCTGGTTGGGCAAAACCCTCCAATTCTCGCGCCACTTTCATCCAAAGTATTTCCTAGCCTGTCAATCAATTTGTGCATCGATTGTCTTCTCGAAATCTGTCGTGATGCGAGTGTGACGTAATCAGAGTCGTGTATGGAGGCAGCCGAGTGGGCTGAGGGAGTCGAGTCTCGTTGGCTTTTATTTCGGGTCTCGTTTCGAGTGACTATTGGCGGGAGTACTTGGTCTACGGCGTGAATTGTATCGTACTTGGGATCCGTGACGGGAACCATGGCCTGTAACATGAAACTGAAAAATCAAAACAACGTTAGACGATTTTTTGGTTGATTTATGAGACGATTTGTCAGAAAGCTTATTCTCCGTCTTTAGAATGAGGTGCTTGGATGATAGATCAGTTGTTTTCTGTCTGGGTAACTTGCAAGATCAGATTATCCCCAAATAACACGGACAGTCTGTGATTTGGACTTGTCACTTAGCGCGCTCTTTCTCCTTTTCCTCCCACCTGCGAAGTTTTACCAGTCAATTTATTCTTCGCATTCACCGATTGTTATGAAAACTGACATGCGGACCTTGTAAAATCACTCGTTACACGATAAAATTGATGCTCATGCGAGGTGGGGGGAGGGGAGGAAAAGAGCGTACCAATCACTTAGCATGCGCAAACTTTCAACATGCTTGTTAACGCTGACCCTCTCATTGACTTCTCCTGGCAGTGGCTTGACTTCCAAGTGAGGAATCTGTTGGTACAGCTGTTCCAGGGGCACAACTTGGCTCTCGTTTTGAAGGAAGTTGGTCTTCATGCACTTGGTGTTGCTAGTCTTCGACATTGGATTTGCAACAGCGCTGCTATCTTTCCTTAAATGCGAATATTTCGTTAACTGTAAATATTTCGTCACCTGCAAGGTGCTAGTAAAGTTGGTGCTAGTTTCATGTTTTTTTTTGCAGTTGAGAAAAGATACGCCCAGAGAAGATACATCGAGTCTGTCTTTTGTTGTTTCTTTTTTAAAAAAACGGTATAGGCCATAGTTTCCATTTGTGTAACCATTACCTATTAGTGCTGTCCGTCTCCTGTAATGATTCCAGGTGCGGCACAGTTACCCTGGATCCCTCGCTCTCCCTGAGAGAGGTGGTAGGAAACAATTGCTGGTCTCTGTTCTCAGTGTCGCCATTCATATGGTACTCGTTCTCTTCTATGCTTTTACGTGATGAAGTTATATTGGACAGTTGCGACATTTTTTCACCCAGAATCTGACTTCTGATGTAAGAGGTGACTTCTTCAAAATAATTTAAAATCTCTTGATATTATAAGGCTCTGCCAGGAATTGCTGGTTCCAATCATCGAAGAAGAAAAGCATTGTTAAATTCGGGTTTTTTCCTCCCAAAATCAGGTACCATAAACAACGTCGTTTAGGGTCGAGTGAAAAATCGCGTAAAGCGCTTTTCAATCATGTTTTGAGCTGAAATAATTTTTTTTATATTTACTTGTGTTCATTACTCTTTTCCAATCTTCGATTCTGGAGCGGCCTGTGTGAACGAGTCCCACTTAACCAATTAAGTTAAAGATCTTATCCCTGAAAGTAACACCCAACTTTAAGCAGTCACTCAGCGTGAGAAATGCTAGTTGGCTGAAAAATATAGGTCTTAGATACCAAGTTACCGGCATCATCCCTAAGTTTACTTAGGGGGAGATCATTTTTTTAGGCGCAAATTTGATCACATTACGGAAAATTTTTCAGAATATATTATTGATACAGTTTTTGAATACTTGGTAAATCGCCATTAAATTTTTTGGATTTTAATCAACTTAATAACTGTAGGCAAACACGTGCCCGTAGCTTGAGAATGCTACGTTCAAAATCTGTTAGATCTAACTGCTTATTACAATCGGTTAGCGTTAAAGTGCTCAAGTTTTACAATTTTTTTTGGCTAATAATCTTTTTCCAGAGAACTTGAAACATATGTCAAAATCTCAATTGAACTCATATGTACAAAAAACTAAACGTATTTTTGTCTCAGATAATTTTGAACTCCTTCACCTGATATTTGACAAGTGATCTAATTCCTGCCTTTTCTTTCACCTCAACTTATTTTGTAAAAGTCTACCTTATGGGACGTCTCCTCGAGGGGCCTTAGGGCCCGTGAGTCGACCCCTGTGATTATCTTATGACTGCATAAATGTGCTCACTAAATAATTCAAACTTCAAACTTGGTAGTCTGGGGTCATTGTGAAATAAGATTATTAATGTCAATGAGCATTCACCACTAGATGCTTGACTGCAAGTGAGTTAAAATGCCGCGAGCGTCATTCATCGAAGTTTTCATAAAGTTAGGTAGTAGCGTTGAAGCTTTCCGACGCTTCTGTCTGAAATATTGTAGGCGTATAAAAATAGGCTATGAGGCAACAGGATATTTTTCTTTTATTCAGCTTAATGTTTTGTCTAAGTTATGATGATTACACGATTACACTTACGAGAGCAAGTGTCTTGCAATTAGGAACTAAACATTTTTTCTTGAGTTTCGTAAGTTTTGTTTCATTGCTAATTAAATTTTCAAGTGTTTTGCTTGACATGTTTACCTATAATGATTTTTTATTGAGATATACGAACACTTTCCTACGCCTACATTTTTTTCAACATTTTTCATTTTTTTCATGTTTTTTTTTATCTTGGTGCTGTATCCTTTGTGTTAATGATGTTTTCTTTTCAGGCTGATCAAGTGAACGAAAAGTGTTCCAGCTTGGAAACGGAGGTGAATTCGAAAGGAGAGCAGAGCCAGTCATTGCAAGCGGAACTAGATGCACTCAAAGAAGACCATAAGGTATAATGTTTGTCGACGGGACACATCTTTCTGAGCATCATCAGCCTGGTTTCATCTACAATCTGGGTTTATTTGAAAAATGTTGAGTTGCTTAAGCTCAATGAGTGTTTTAATTGAAGATTCTTGAAGCTCAATTTCTGGAAGCTTCTGGAATCACTGTCGTTTTCATCAACGAAAAGAATTTTCACTCTTTCAAATTGCGAGTAAGTTAAGTTTCATTAAATGATGAGAACAGCTGTTATTAAATAGCCTTGTCGTCAGTAACAGAAGGTTTTTCCTCTTGATTTACGCTCCGGCTATTGATTGGCCCCTGACCTGCGAATTTGTTTCGATCACCTGCGAATTCGTTTCGGTTACCCCTCCTGACCCGCGAGTTTGTTCCGGTCACCGAAATTGGAAGTAAACTTAGTATAAGGTTGTCTTTTATTGTCATAAAATCATGTAACAGAAACACATATGTATTGCATTAAAGCTTAAAGCCTTTTCAGTGCTGGCAGCAATGTAAGTTCAGAGAAAGTTTCCTCCGTGCCAAGAAAAAGCGGTCTGATTATTCTCGCCCTTCAGACTATGTCCTTATAAGACAAAATGACATTAGCTACTATCTAATACATATTTAAATGCGTCTGAAGGGTATCTCGCCATGTTTAAGCTTTTTCAACGCATTTTTTTTGCATATGTAATTAACCAAATTTGGCATGTTTAAGTTATTTTGTATGTTGCAATGCTTACGAAAACTTTTCTGACCATGTTAGATTTTTTGAGCGTTTAAGCTGTGCATTTTTTCTAAACGCGTTAAGTTTCCGAAATTAAAAGAATTTTGCAAGCCTAAGCTACTGAATCCGACCATTTGAAAAATGTTGAGGAACTTTGTATTCGGGTGTTTTTAGTTTTTTATTTTTTTCCGCGAAGTGTTGAGAAAAATGGTTTGAACATTTTGTGTTTATTTCAATGTCGAGCAAATAAAGCGAGCGAGAAGGCTTACAACAGCTCATTTATGCTTAATTTAAGCCCTAAAAATAGGCAAGTCAAATTAGTTTTTGGAGTTTTTAAGCGCAATTTTAGATATGGGAACCAAAACTTTAAAAAAATCAAACATTTTATGCAAAATTTGAAGAAAAAAAAAACTTTTTTCTTTTTGTTTTTTTAGTGAATTTTGTACCAAATTTAAGTTCAATTGGCCTTTAGTACTACGACCGTTGAATATGCTTAAATGATAATTTTTTTGTCAAATCTTTCTGATTTAACCACGCAGAAAAAACTACACGAATTTGAAAAATGTCTTAGTTGTATTTAAAGACTGTGGTCGGAACACTTTGTGCTACTTGCTCACTAACCGGCTACCCTTGTTTTTTTTATATTTTGACATGGATAGTTTGTTTTTCAGTTTTTTTTTGGTTTGTCTGTCTATCGATGTATAGTCCTTATTTAGCAACAAAACTCAACTTAGCAACTCCAAAGTGGGGTGTGGTCAGAGCTGTACTAGTTTGAATCTGGCTTCTCAATCTGACTGCTCGAATCTTTTACGTTTTTGCAACGATTTTTTGCTCTTTTTGGAAAAATTGTTTACGGTTTTTAATATGTAATATTAACCAAGAATCTCATAAATTATATAATTGAATTGATTTTTTAATTTAATTTCTGTTCATTACTATAATACTCAGGGTAGACACCAAGTGGGCATTATTTTTTCCCTTTGTCTAATACCACCAATTCAAGGATAACCGGTTACTGTGCAAATAGCACAGAATGCTCCGACCATAGTCTTAGAATATCCAAAAAAGGTTTTTCAAATTAGTATCGTCTTTTTTCTGCGTATGGTGATTAATGGATCTGACCGAAAAAATATAGTGCAGGCATATGCATCAGTCATAGTAAAATCGGCAAATTTGGCAACAGTTTTTGCTGAAAAACAAAAAAAAACAGAAACTTCCAAAGTTTCCCTGAAAAAAATCCAAAAATTAATATTACTCGAATAAAACTAAGTTTTTGCGGCTTAAATTAAGCATAAATAAGCAATTGGAAGCCTGCTCGAATGCCTTTATTCGCTGGAATTAGACAAAAAATCAACTCTGTTTTTCAAAATTTTTAAAGGGATTTAATATGATAACTTTCGACCCATTCCGATTATTATTTCTGGTGCCTGATACTGCATGGAAAACAAGAAGAAAAAAAAATTAAAATACGTCCGAATACAAAGTTGGTCCCCATTATCAAAGGTCGGAACAATAAATTAATTGATGTAAAGTTATTAAATTGATACAGAGTGCAACCTATGCTATAACTCCAGTCGTTTTAATAATTATGATGACGAGAATTAAATGGTTTCTTATTTGTTTTGTTTTTGTGGTAATGTTGTAGTTTGATCTAGTTTGTGATATGGCCTAACAAGAAATAGATTGTCTTTATAAGCGATAGTGAGTTTTTTTTCAAATTTGATGCCTGTTGGAAATTAAGGGTTATTAAAGCAACTATTCGTTTAACACTTAGGTTAAAGTAAGGAAAATGTAGTTGTGTACTATCGATGTTTCTGAATTTTTCTGAATCAAAATCTGAATATCTGAAACTCAGTGGTTGTAAAGATACGAATTTTAAAATTTTTTCTTTGAAATTTCCAGATTTTTTTTCGGTCTTCGCATTTTGTTGTCTTGTGTAGGCTTTTCATTAATTTATTTTAGAAAAAAAATCAAGTGGTACAGTGACATTAAATTATGTCAATACGGTTTGGCTTTTGAGAATAGTTTATCTCATGAAAAATTTCTGTTTTTTTGGTAGCCTCAATTTATAGCTTAAGTTTTAAGTTATCTAAATTCCTCGCTAATTTATATTAAGAGACGTCTCCCTTGAGTTAGCTTCATGTTAGCAGAACATATGCATAAAAAGGGCTCTGAAATTCAAATAAAGTTTATAACTACCAAACACTAAGGGTTCGAGTTATTTCGGCATTAACTTTTTTTTGTTTTATACTGCGTATGACTGTGTATCTTTTCATAATTATATCAAAAACGTGACATCCACGCTTTAAAATTTTTGAAATAATGTACTGAAGTTTTAATTCAATTTTTGCATATTTCTGTTAAAAGAAAATCCTTATGTACTTTCTGGATAGTTTTTTTTGCGAAGTATATGCCTGTACAAGCTTAATAGATTTTGATATAAACAGTTTTTCCTTGATTTCTTGGTCAACCTTTTGGTCGGTCATTTTAATATGAGACACTTGATCCCTGCAGTGGGAAATTACGATTTTTTTTCTGTTAGATTTTCATAAGGATGCCTCTTAAACCTGTAATTGTGTGGATAAAAATCTTTTGTAAAGCTGAAAATACTCTAAGCACTTGCAACCATATATCGTCTTGCATTCAGTTTGCAGCTTTTTTATGGGTTTGCTGAGGATACAAACTGTTATGCTGAGGCTACCAACTAGATTTTTTTCTTTTATGAAGATATACGTCGTCATTTTTGAGAAGCAGCTTTATTTAGGCTTTCAGTAAATAGACTATGTTATGATTTTTATACATAAATCAATCTAATGATGATTAATCAACTTTTAGTAAAAGCATAATTTTAGTCCCTCCGCTTTCTCTTCCCCAATTCGTTTCGACCATTGAAAATAGGGCGTGTTTTTGTTTTTTTTCTTTTGTTTTCCACGCAAAATGAGGTGCCACAAATAATCATTGGAATGTGTCGAGTGATATATCATATTTTAGTCGTGATTCGAATAACATTTGAAAATTTTCAAAAAATCGTTCCAGTGTCAAGAAAAACTCATTTAAGAATTAGTCTAATATCGAGCGAGTAATGCGATCGAGTAACATTCGTTATAAAAAAATGATAGAAATTGGTCAATCAAGCTTAAAAAATTTGATTTTTTTTTTCTAAAAGAAAAACTAGTTATAAGCTCTTCCTTGGTTCAAAAAGTTTTAAAAAATTTCAAACATTTTTTAAACGATTTTTTTGAAAGGTTTTCATGATTTGGTTTGTTTTCATTTTTTGAAGATAACTGTTGTCAACTTTGTCGAATTTACTTCTTTTATAGGCATTTGTATCGTTCTCTCATCACAGCAACCACCAAAAAACGACACTAAATTGAAGAAAAAATAGAAGAAACATACCTTATAAAAACGACTAGTTATTCCATGAAACTTAAGGTCAAGAAAAAGAACCCACAGCGATGTACATTATTGAGAAAAGCCCAGGGCATGAAAGGCTTCTCTGAGAAGAGTTCTGACATAAATTATCTTCTAGGAAATGTTGGAAAAGCTCAAGCAATCTAGAGTTGAAAAAGGCACTTTGGAGGAAACAGTTCAAAGCCTAGCCAAACGAATGGAAGAGTCCAAAATGGAACATGACTCACAGTATTTAAAGCTCAATGCTAAGATTGAAGAGCTGGAGATGGTGAAAGTGAACTTGGAAAGTCAATTAAGTGCAATCAAAACAGAATGCGAGGAGCTGAATGCGGAAAAAGACAAACAGGTTCGAGAACTTTGAATATCAGTTAGCGGGTTTGAAAGTCAGTATTGCGATAAAATGGCGATAAAATGGCAGCTCTTGCTTACTCCATGGAACTATTTAAATCTATTGGAAACCTCGTCAATTTTTTTGGCAGCTATAGTCAAATTTTTCGAGTAGACGTCATCTTGTTCCAAAATAGCAATTTAGTATTTTAAGATTCAAAAAATGCAATTTAGGTTGATATATTAAAATTCAAAACTCTTTCGAGCTAAATCGTCTGAATTGACCGCAATTTATGTTGTTTGGATGAATCAACCAGCTATTTTGGCCAATCACAAGTCGTGCCTAAAATATGAGTGATGAAATTAACAGAGCAAGGCTGATCAGAGTGCTATGTTGGACCTGGAGATGGCGGACATGCGGAGGAGTTTGCAGATGATTCAGGAGAGGCTCACATCTTCAGAGGCTGAGAGGGAGGCTATGAGTAAACAGCTCACAACTGCAGTATCGGAAAAAGGTAGAAGAAGAAACGTTTCTTTTTGATCCTGTGAACTTTTTTTCAATCGCCTGAAACTCTTAGTTTTTACCGGTTACCTTGTTCAATTTCATTTGTGACTTCTCAGGTGATTTTTCTCGGCTACTTCCAGTGGGTAGAGCCGAACGCTAATTAAAAGGTGAACAAGAGATGAACGTTACCTTCTAAAATCTCATTGGAAGTATTAGTTTTTGTTGAACGCGGCCAATAATAAGTAAAACAAAACTTTTTCGATGCTTTTTTTTTAATTTAAGTTTGCTATACAAGGCGTCTTAGCATAATTAAAGGTTAAATTTTAAAAAGCTATTTTTAATAATCTTTTTGAAAAAATTTAAGCCAGTCGAAGTGTAGACGAACCAAAAACGAGCACAGTATGTAAACATACGAAATTGCGTGACTTTTGTTTGAATTGCATCCGGCGACCTTAAACCCAGAAATATCTCCAATTCCGATTTTTTCTTTCAAATCGAGCGTTTTCGAAAGCTGGCTGAATTGTCTGTATACTTTTGGCTGAATTGTCTGAATTTCAAATTGGCTGAATTGTCTTTGGCCGACTTGTCTGTGCGCCGTGGATGCTATCTAGGCGGTACATATTAGTACCTTACAATGTGAATGTTTTTCCCAAAAATTTTCGGTGATCAGTTATTTTAATGTGTCGGCTTCAATTTTAATTCTGTCTGCTCATTCCGCCTATCGTTTTTTTTTTTAATTTCCGATGTATGATTTGAGATGAAATGGACTCTGGTAAAAAAAATTTCAAAAACTCAAACTCACGAACCATCTGTTATTCATGTACATATTTTTCAGTATAGTTTTTGATGTTCCAGTCTCCCAACAAATTTTTTTCATGACGATTTCTTTGTGATTGGAACGACATTAAAAGTTTTTCAAAAAACTGGCCAAGTGTCGAGAAAAACTGGTTTGCAGTTTTTGAGTTTTTGTCTAATTTTGAGTGAGTTAAAGCAATCAAGTAGCTCATTTAAGCTAAGAAAACTTCCTTTTTCTAGAAGGAAAACTAGTTTTGGAAGCTTAATCTAGCGCTTCCTTGTATTAAAAGTATTCAAAAACGTTTTCTTTCGTTTTTTTGCTGTTTGTTATTCACTTTTTGAGGACAGCTATTGTCAATTATGCCTAACTCTGCAAATTGTTTATACTTTTTTATCACACTACGCACAAAAGCGGCACTTGTGTGAAAAAAATGAAGAAAAAAAACATTTTTGTTGTTTTTTTTATGAATGTGGTCGAAACACTCTGTGCTACTTGCACAGCAACCGGCTATCCTTGTTTCAATTTTAAAACTCTTTATTTTACATAATCAAAAATGCGCATCACTGGTGGCCGATAATTACTAATTACTTCGTTAAAATTATATGTATCACCAAATTGTTTGTGTGCAGAGACAGTGGCGAAAGAGAAAAAAGAAGTGGAGGACAAGAGTGGTAAGATGAAACAACTTCTGCTCAAACAGAAGAAGGAACTGGAAGAGCTGCGAAAACACGTAAGTGGGCTTAAATAATGCAGTCGGCACCCATTCAAATATTCCCTTCTCCGAACTGACTTTTTCCGAACTGTACAAAGATGGGAAAATACTGTCGATTCAACGCTGGTATCCCATAGTGACCGCAGTTACACCGGAGGGCCCTTATTGAATATTATTCTTTCAACTACCATATTTTATTTAGTGAAAGAGGGCATATGGTACTTACTAATGGAAAAACTATGCAATCAAGTCCGAGGAAAGCGACGTTCGTTGATTTTGATGAGCGTACGATTACAATACAGTCCTTTATGGGTCTCTAAAAGCCGATTTTTTGAACGAGCTAATTAGTTTCTGCATTAAGCGACTTGCATTCGAGTACATGGAGATGATCATTTGTTCAGTTTGAGCTCGTTAGTTTGTTTCAAAAACAATTTGTGATGTGCAGATGGGCCAGTGATCGAACCGGTAAATTACGCCTTTAAGCGAAGATGTTCAGGGCTCGACTCGCGACATATGCTCAACTTTTGAACTGATACAGCTTTTTGAATGGCCATTTTGCTGTTTTTTTTTCTCGCTTGGTCGTTTTGTGGAAAAACGAGGCGTAGCCATTTTTTGCCGCAATTAACTTTCAAAAGCAATCAGTATTCTGTATTGAGCTCTAAAGGTCAACCCGTCTAACATATTTTTGATTTCAAAAGCACGAATTCGACTTCATTTCTGAACTTAGCGTGAACTAGAGTACACGAAAGACAAAACAAAGCTTGGTTTCTTTTGAAATAGAGGTTGCTACAAAATATGAAGCACTATGTTCAGTGTTCTGATTTCAGGAAAGTGAACTGAAATCAAATCTGGCTGATTTGGAAACAAAACTTGCCGAAGCTGATGCAGAAACTGACAAGCTTAAGGTAAGTCTTTGTCCTTGGTTTAGATTAGGATGTTATTGCAATAGCGTATTTAGGTTGGGTCCTTTTTTGTACTAATTTGAGACATCCATTTTTGGTTGACAGACCCTAAAATTAAATAATTTAATAAATCATTTGAGTGGGAATTTTGGTCTAAATTTTCCAAAAAGGCTTTAAAAACGCCTTTTTGGTATGTTTTTTTTTTTTCAAATTGTTGTCTGCAGCGCAAAAAATTTGGACAAAACAGGTTCTTTTTAGTGCTCTGGGAGAGCTCGGAAAATCAATTTAATCAATAAAAAAAGAAAGTGGACAAAAGTTTTGAAAAAGTTTCCTCTGCGTTGATAGTTATTTTAGCTCACGTTTATGAATAAAGGTGATTTTTACTGCAGCTTCTCTTTAGAGTGAATTTTTTCTCCTATTCAGGTCGCGCGGTTATCTTGTTTCTATTTAATGTGTTCAGTTTTTGGTGTTTTTTTTTTGCTATAGTCACGATCTGTAGCATTGGAAATTTCACAAGATCTGTTCTCTGCTTTATTTGTGGCTAGTGTTTGATATTGAATAAGCGTCCTTGATTGAGTGGTTAGTGTGTGAGATTCATTATCTCTAGGTCGCAGATGGAATCCGAGACGTAGCCAATTTTCACTAATTCGAGGCGTATTTCTAATTTTTCTAATTGCACTTTATAGAGCTGCTTTTTGTCGCGTTTTTCAGGTTTAGCTTAATGTTCGAGAGATATTCTAGGTAGCAGCCGATTAGAAACTTATGAGAGATCTTTTCATCAGGCTTTTTGACCGGAAGGATTTCGTTTCGTCGTGTAGATATGTGACTCATTCTTAAGCAATCTGGAGTTGTGTTTTGTGTGTGGTCTGTTTTTCTTGCAGAAGTTTCTAATTGGTTGAGCTGTGAGTGGGCTTTTAAAGGGGAGCTGCCTAGTTCATGATATTCTTTCCAAATGTCCTGTATGTTAGTTACAATATGCCTTTGCCTCAGGGATAAGTTTAAATCATAATAATAATAATTATATTACTCATTATAAACTTGGCAATTGTGTTCCGTGTCATTTTTCCTCATAAATGATTTTGTACGAAAGTTAATCTAATATTTAAATTTAACTGCGAAAGAATGAGATAACTTTCTAATTGCGTTTTCTAAAATTTAATATCTTTAACCTTAGCGATAAGCAAGGGTATTGCCACCGGTTATTAAACTTCTCCCCTGAAGAAAGAACTTAGTTTACAGAATGGATGAATTGGTAATCAATATATCAACATAAACTGCTGAAATAGATTAGTGTAGTGGTTGCGTGTGAAATACCTGACTAGGGTGCATATTAAGAGTCATTGTACGTTTTTTTTGTGTACCAAACGATCGGAATAGTAAAATATATATTTTTGGCTTACATAAAAAACTTTGCTTAGCTCATTTTTAGACTTTCGGTTTTATAGCGACATTCTTTGTCGCTTTGGAAATTTTTGGTTTTGCTGTTGAGTTCAGTTAAAGCACGCTCCGAAAATGCCTTTTTTAAGCGCAGCTCAATTTACACTCTCCACGAGCAGAAGATGAGAAGTGAGAAAACTACAGATCTTTCCTTCTCAAATATTTATTTACACTTGCTAACCTAACTCGCAAATAAACGTGTTCATTACAAGTGATCACTATTTTGGTGGAACTTTTGCTATAATCACAATCTGTGGCAGTGGCTTTTTTATAGCATCTATTTTCTGCTTTTTTGGACTAGTGTTTCTGATTTATTAAGCGTCCATGGCTGAGTGGTTAGTGCGTGAGACTCATCTCTAGGTGGCAGAACGAATCCGAGACGTAGCCGAATTTCTTTTTACTAATACGAGGCTAATTTTTCTTATTGCACTTTAAAGAGCTGCTTTTCTGTCGCAATAGTGTTTGCGAAGCGAAGTTTCGCCTCTGTGTTAACATTTAATTTCAATCGAGCAAATTAACAATAAAAAATAAGACTTTGGGCCGATTTTTGCGTTGTGCTTTCTGAAACTAGCTTTCTGCTCAAGCTTCGTTTTAGAGTACGAAGAATTAAATGGCGCAATCAATGAAAAACACGGATAGTATCGAAAATTGAGTCGTTTACGTTCTAATCTTCAAAACACAGTGTTTATACTCCATTCTTTACACAAGCCGAGCGAACTGTTTTACTGGGAGGCCACTTTTTTCGGTGCTGAATTTTGAGTTTAAGCGTTAGAATGTATTCGCGGTGTGCTTTTTAGCTGTTGTTATTTTTAAAGTAATAGGGAACGTGGTCGAGTGGGTTAAGCACAGGTCTCTTAATCCGGGGGCCGTGGGTTTGAATCCCTCTTCCGATCACGGTGGGAGGTGTCTCGATACCGATTATCAATACCGGTTATCTGGGAATGGCTACGGAAAATGAATATCCTCTCCTTGCTTCCTTAGGAAGGCTAATGAGAGAAAATCAAAGCCAATTTTCAACAACCTACGCAGTCCGTTAAAGCGTAATGATCATTAGAATTGATTTGCAAGGTTTGAGATGCAGCATGCTGCTCATTTCTTACTAGCATTGTTAGGTTGAATACTTAAGCGATCAGCTTAGTTCAGCATTTCGAACCTTCTTTTTTCTAGCCTAACTCGCAAATAAAACTTCATTAAAATTGGAAAGTTATTCACTTATTTGGTGGCCTTTTTGCTATAAAAACGATCTATAGCATTAGAAATTTCATAGCATCTGTTCTCTGCTTCATTTTTGACTAGTGTTTGATGCCTTTGAGCGTCAGTGGCTGCGTGGTTAGTGTACGAGATTCTTAATCTCTAGGTCTCAGTTTCGAATCTCAGACGTAGCCGATTTTAAAAAAAAATTAAATCGAGGCTTATTTCATATTGCACTTGGTAAAGCTGCTTTTTGTCGTGTTAACGCTAGTGTTTCCGAAGCAAAGCTTCGCCTCTTTAAATATTTTAATAGCTTTCTCTATTTTCAATGAAAAATGGACAAAGGTAGACAAAGTTTTTTAATATGTCTTAAAAACTTGAAAACTCGCGGTTAAAAACCAGATTCCCGGTTCGATGTAAGAATAGTTATTAGTTTTTTTTGGAACAAACTACGCGTTAAGTTAGTTTCTAAGAGCTTATGAACGTAGTTAGTTTTTAAAATTTTTATCCTATTTTCCTTATTGAGAGTAATGAATGTAGTGAGTACTCTTATGTAAGTCGTGATGATTTTTTTTTGATTTTTGCTACCTGATTTTAGATTTTTTTGTATGCTCAGTTCATTTGTGAAAAGAGGGCAAACTCAACTATTGAACAGCAAAAGAAAGTTCGAAAGTGGAATAAATTTGAAATTTTCCCAGCGGAATAAATACTTTACTTTTTGATCCAGTTTTCTCAAATGCAGTTAATTTTTTATCAACGATGTGTCAATCATAAATTGTTTTTGAAATTCAAAGAGCCGTAAGGCCATCTACTTTTACTTCGAAATTGCAATTTTTTTCAAAAAACGGGTAATTTTTTTGTGCTTCACAACTCTCTGGTGGCTATGTACATTTATTTATGTCTTGTTTTTCTTAAAAATTGTTTACGTTCAAATTTTCTGGTTTTAGTGGTGTTGTCCATTTGTTTTCAACATAGTTTCAAACTCTTTACTTTCCAATTTAATCCGAACATTTATCTATGTCTCAAACTCTTTACTTTAAGTAAAGAGTTTCAAACTCTTTACTTTCCATTATTTGTCCGAACATTTATCTATGAACAGCTATGTACATTTATTTATGTCTTGTTTTTCTTAAAAATTGTTTACGTTCAAATTTTCTGGTTTTAGTGGTGTTGTCCATTTGTTTTCAACATAGTTTCAAACTCTTTACTTTCCAATTTAATCCGAACATTTATCTATGTCTCAAACTCTTTACTTTAAGTAAAGAGTTTCAAACTCTTTACTTTCCATTATTTGTCCGAACATTTATCTATGAACAGCTATGTACATTTATTTATGTCTTGTTTTTCTTAAAAATTGTTTACGTTCAAATTTTCTGGTTTTAGTGGTGTTGTCCATTTGTTTTCAACATAGTTTCAAACTCTTTACTTTCCAATTTAATCCGAACATTTATCTGAAACATTCCAAATGCTAAGTGCCAGGAAACTTACGCTCTCAAAAAACAAAATACAAATGGAGCAAAAAAACATGATTGATTTTTAGTTTCAAAAGAGGATTTAATTTTTAAGATTAAAGAACAGTGAAGTCTCTAATATAGGTCTTGCTGATTTTTTTGTTTTTTTTTTCAGGAAAAAGTCTTGAAATATTGATGCACTTAGGTATAATGCTTTTTTTGAGTTCAATTGAAATTCATCTGCTGAAAGTGACGTAAATAGCTCTCTCCAAATACGAACATGGAAATGTCGCAAAAAAACGTGAACGATTTCTAGTTTCGAAGGTGGAATTTATTTTTCAGATTTCCCAGCGGAAGAAAAACTACATATTGATCCAGTTTTCTCAAGTTGGGTTCATATTATGAAAAAGTGCCAATCAGAAATTGTTCCAGAAATTCACATAGCTTAAAGGGCATCTATTTCTTTCTTTGACTTTCTTGGAAAAATCTCAACTTCCGAATTTCAGTGTTTTTTATGTGTCCTTGCGTTCATTACTCTTTTCCAGTCTTCGATTGGCTGTTTTAGATTTCCCAGCTGAACAAAAAGTTTGATCTAGTGATCCAGGTTTCCCAAATTTGGTTACTTTTATCGAAAAGGCCGATTTTTAAAGATTCTTAGAAATTAAGGAATTTCAAGGTGATATCTACTCTCAATCATTTTTTATCTGCTTAGTAAATTTCTGCTACTGTTTGTTCTGTGAACAAGTTGAGAATATAAAATTTTATTAATTAAAAAACTAAAGCTACTTCAATTTCGATCAAATATAGCTACAGGAAATCACATGAAGCAATTGACACAACACCAATTTTTGGTTAAATAATGTAATGCATATTTAATTGAAATGAAATCGGTTTTGGGTTCGTTTGAACATGATTGCGGTATATTTGTTGGGTTTGCTTCTCTAACTCGTGTAAGGGCATCTCAGTTTGGATTGAACCAAATGGAGTTCTTGCTGACATCGAAGAATCACTAAAACAGTCCAAATAAGAAAACTCAGCTCGCGAGAGCTTTGTCTAGTTGCTTCTTTTCTGGTTCGTGATCAAAGAGTTTTATCTTGGTAAATTTTTTGTTTTATTGAAATCAAAATCATCAACTGATTAGGCAGCAAAGTTCAGGTGATTTTGAAGCGCATTTGGTGAAGTGAATTACAAATTATCCTAAAACTACAAATATTTTGTATTAGACTACACTACATTACAGAATACAGAACTTGACACAGATCAAATAGCACATCTATAGCGTTACATCCAGAGTGTTAATTGCTATACAATTAACCGAACAATTCTTGTGTTACAAAATACCTTAACGCTCTTCAAAATAGGATCAAACTAAGATGTTGGTGCGCTTGTAATAGCCTGGCCTGGAGCCGGCGCAGGTTCGACTCCCGCTGCCGCCCCCGATTTTGGAAGCGCTACTTGATGCATTGCGCCGGCCTCCGGCTCTAATGCCTTTGTACTCGACCTACAAGCATAGCAATCTACATACATTTGATGTAAATTTCCGGTAATATTTCATTGCATTGCCAGGAGACCGTTGAAGTGTCATCAATCTTAGTTAATTAAAAGAACCAATGCTAAATGAAGCAATCTAATTGTGAAGTACACTCGCTTTTTGTGGCATTAGTTATTCGGAGCTGTTTTTGCATGTATATTTGACACAAATTGGAACTTAAATTAAGATGTTTGTCAGTTCTATCAAACTACAGATGAAATTTAGATTCAAAACCTGAATTCTTGAGCAATGAGTATTGAAAAATGGGTATGGAAAAGATGGAAAGTTGATATTTACAACGTGGAACATCTGGGTCTTCCAGAATTGTGGTTTCTGACTGGGTTGTGTTCCTCCTGGCTTTCCGTTGGGTCTCCAGGCATTGAGTATTTTCCAGATAGGACCTGGACTGGAGCTATCCTCTTCTCCACTGAGCAGTTCTTTCCTGATGTCTTTTCTTCCGAAGATGTAGTAATCTACTGCACGGATGGAAGCCAAGACACTGAAATAAACTCCATAAGCGAGTCTTCTGCATTTCCGAAGCTTCCTCCGCAACTAATTAACTTTAATCTAAGTGATGAATCCAACTTTTGTCTGAGAAAGAAAGAAAAAAGAAAAAGAAGAAAAAAAGACAGAACGAATTTGTCACCTTTATTTATAACATCGAGTTTAAAAGTACAGCAGATTTAATTTAATCGCTAAATAGTGTTTACAGTACAGGAATAAAGTTAAGGATAGGAGAAAAAAATTGTCTATATCTTGGCTACCTCTTAAATTACAATGTCTTAATTGAGTTTTCATTCACTTAGATCGTGCTATAGAATTGTTGGGCAAACAAATTTGTTCGCGCTCAATTTTGATTTTTTTTTTTCAGTTTTTGTTTTTGTTTCATTTTGTTCAATCATTCAGTTGAATTTGATTTCATTTGAAGCAAAAAAACCTCTCCAAAAACTAAAGTGCAAATTATGCTGTGAATGTCATTCAGCACAGACAATTGGTAGAATGACAATTGGTTTCGAAAGTGGTTTTGGATTCGTATATGTCCAGGTGGAATAAAAATATTGACCATTGACAACATCTTCTCAATTTGAATTAGTTTTATCTAAAACTTGTCAATCAGAAAATATTCTTGAAATTCAAAGAGTCTCCATATACGTTTTTCTTCGAAACTCAAAAGAAGGCAAGGCTTTAAAAATAATCATTTCTCGAGTTTCAATCTCCTTGAGTTCATTGACCTTCTTTTTCCAAGTCACTTTGGCTTTTTTATTTTGACAATGCGTTGGACTTCAAATGTTAATGAACAAAGTGTTCTCTAAGATTTTTGATAAAACGCCGTTCTATCGTTTTTTTCTGTGAATATTGTTTTGATGTTCAATGTTGATTTCTTAGTACATTTTTTTTAAAAATGTTGTTGTTTCCAATAGCTCATTTTTGGCAAAGGTAATAAAAATTGAAATTTTGAATATGAAAACGTCCATAATCTTTATTGATCCAAAGTTTTATAGAAATTGAACGGAAAATATTCTTCCATAATCTTTCGTGAGTCCTAGTTTTGCTCCCAAGTCTTATACATAATTGGATGAAAAACATTCTTCCATAAACTATTTGATCCTAAGTCTCATAAAAATTGAATGGAAAGTATACTTCCATAATCTTCTTGATCTTAAGTTATATAAAAATTTAAGGGAAAAGACTCTTCCTTTATCTTTCTTGATCCGATTTTGATCAGTTTCATTCTTGAGCGAAGTCTTAGGATTCGATTCATTTTTCAAGTCATTCAAATGTGGACCAACGCTTTTCTTTCTATAAATTAATAAGCTTATGTTTCCATGAAAATGTTTTACGTGCTGAAGTTTTGGATTAGAAAATTCGCCTAAATTTTTTTCTAAAATGTGAAAAATTGCCTACAATATCAAAATTGAAAAATAAATGTAGTTTTGTAACTTAAAAATAAAATTCTCTTAAACAGAGGAATTAACATTTTTATGAGGAATCGGAATTCTTTTACTTCGCCTAATTTGTTGTGGGGATTCTTATTAAGGAGTGTTAATGATCGAAGTGAATTTTATCACTTATTTAGAGTCCGCGGTTTCACTTTTGATTTATTTTGAAGTTCATCGCAATCTCATTTGCTGGAAGGAAGGCAAAAACTCTCGGATAACGCTAGCTCAAATAGTGCAGAATAGATTTTAGGGTTCAGATTTCCGAGGCGAGTAAAAATACGTATCTATTGGCTTTTGAAATGAGGGCCAATGAATAAAGCTTCATGGTAATCTGAGAGTTTTGTTTGTGATTCAAATTTTTTACAGTAATGAACGTAGTGAAGAATCTTCTATAGGTCTTGCTGGTTTTTTTTCAGGCAAAAGTTAAAATATTGATGCATTTAGGTATAATGCACTTTTTGAGTTGATCCAGTTTTCTCAAGTTAGGTTCATGTTTTCAAAAAAAGTGCCAATCAGAAATTGTTCTAGAAATTCAAAGAGCTTACAGGGCATCTGTTTTTTTTCTTTGAAATTCAAAAGTTGAGATTTTTTCAGGAAAGTCTGTTTTTTTTATGTGTCCTTGCGTTCATTACTCTTTTCCAATCTTCGATTGGCTATGTTCTTCGAATTTTAAGTTCCTTTGTTGATTTTTTTTGTTCGGTCTCACTTTTCTATCTTTTGAGAGCAAGATTAATTGTATTCAAGAAATAGACAATTTTCCCTCCAACAATTTTTTTGTTGGAAATTGGCCTTGATTTATTATGAAACCTCAATTTTTCCTTTTGGTTTAATGGTAAAGCGTGTGCCTTAGGATCACAAGGTCAAGGGTGCGAGTGCCGCTTGGACGTTTTTTACTCCGACCATTTGAAAAATGTGGAGGAACTTAGTATTAGGATATGTTTTCGTTTTTTTTTATGAATAATGAACAAATTGAGCACTATTATATAGGTCTTGCTGATTTTTTTTTGTTTTTTTTTCAGGAAAAAGTGTTAAAATTTGTTCACGCTCTGTTTCGATTTTTCGCGGTTTGACTTGTAGTTTCTTTTCAAGTTCAGTGCATTTCCATAAAAGGAAAGCAAACTCCACGATCCAAAAGCAAAAGTGTAAAGGTCACGAAAAACGTGATCGACATCTAATTTCGAAAATGGAAATTAATTATCAAATTTCCCAGCGAAATAAAAGTTTTGCTTATTCATCCAGTTTTCTCACATTGGGTTAATTTTAACAAAAAAAGTGTCCATCATAAATTGTTCTACAAATTCAAACAGCTTAGGGCCATCTATTTCTTCAAAATTCAAAAGTCTCCTTGCGTTCATTTCTCTTTTTCAACTGTCAGTTGGCTATGTTTTTGTTTTCCGCGCAAAATCAGGTCCTACAACTTATCATCGGAATGGGTCGAGTGATATATTGTCTTAAAGCTCTTTCAGTGTGGAGGAAAACCAGTTTGAACTTTTTAGTCTAAGTTAATAAGGTAGGCTAAACATGCTTACAAAAGCTTTCTGCACAGATTTTTTTAAAACATTTTTTACCCCTTTTTATTCATTTTTTTATAAAGATTGCTTTCCAATTGGCCTATTTTACTGTGAATGTCCGAATATATCTTAATTATATTTTTTCGTTCAAATCTTTTTATCACACCACGCAGAAAAAAACGACACTAATTTGAGAAAAAACTTTTTATAATAATATGGTCAGAACATATTCTGCGGTACTTGCACAGTAACCGGCTATCCTTGTTTCGATATGTATACAAATTGATCAAGTTTTGAAGGAAATTTGTCGGAGGATTGTTTGTCGGCTTATTTTTTATTCTGTATTTCATTGGTTTTGGTATTGAAATGGTTTTGGCCTATATTACATTGGTGTAATCGTTTTTCATTTGTCACTAAAGGTAATTTTATGTTTAAGCTTTTGTATGTTTCAGGCAAGGTGGTCGTATAATCTTCAATTGACAAAAAACTGAATTGCACGAAATTGTTTATGACAGTTTTTTTTTTCGTATCAACGGGCTTCTCTAGGATTGTCGATTAAGTTGCCGCTCTGGAAGTTATTCTGAAAACTTATTATGAATAGTGATTGTGTTTTTCGACTGAACAGTAGTCCAGAGAAACGTATGAAGTTTTTGTTGATAGATTTTTCGTTTTTTTTTTTCAAATAGATTTTTCGACTTAGCGGCTTCCGCCTCGTTTTCATTTCGCTTTCTTGCAAGGCTGCTAGCATCAATTTTTCTGCTAAGTTTCTGCTTACATTAATACTACTAATTCAACGGTCTGCTGTCTGCGCGTTTAGTTTTTTTTCTTAGCAACTGATTAAGATATAGGGTTTAAAATTGCTGGATTGAAAACTCGACGAATTCTGTTTCTGAGGCGTTAATTGGCTGTCAATTCATTTTCAGATGGTTATCTGCAAATATCCCTGAGAGCAACAGAAAGCACTGGAGTTTATGGACTCAAATTTGTTTTTTTTTGGGAAGCTGATGTACTTGAAATTTCGGCTAATTATTTCTTAGTATTTCTGCAGTGACAAGGGAATTTTAGTCGAAAGTTAGATAAGAGTATCCCGGCTCATGGATAAAGTTACAATCAACAGTTATTGTGCTGGCTTTATTTTTTCAGTGGTCTAGTAATGTGACCAGGACAAAACGTCTGAATCGTGCAATGCAGTCAGTCGTCTTCGTTTTTTGACGCCAGACCTCAAACGTTTAAAGTTCTATCAGCTATTGTTTTCTCGATGCAAGTCGAGCGTCGTTTTAATTTCTAGTACCTGTTGTTTTCACGGTGAGCAAGTCATTAGTTGTTTACGAGGATGTGTGCACAAGAACACCTCTGGGACTACTTATGATTGACTGGTCAATTAACGCCTCCAAAACTAAACTCTTCTAGTTCCTTTATCTAGATCCTTTCGTATGCGTCAGCCATGGTTGTGCTAGCAAGTGTAATGTAATAGTAAGACTATTCGTGTTTTTTAACTTAAGTCGAAAAAATTGGTGCAATTTTTGGGACAACTTGTAATTTGGCAGCATGTGCTTTGACATTCGATAAGTAAAAAGTTAACACAGTTGATGCATTTTTCGCTCATCAATTGAACCGAAAAAAGCTATCTTATATATTAAATGAAAGTTGGAATGCGCTATGGACGCCATGTTTAAGCGAGTTTTATAGGGGACAATGGTTAACAAGAGGCGTCAAGTTTAGACAGATAGTCTTGAAGTTTTGAGAAACGTTTTCAATTTCCAGATTTGAATGACAAACGCCAAAGTTTGAAATTTGAATGTTATCAAAAAAGCGCCACTCATAAATCGTTCTAAAAATTCAAAGAGCTCAACGGGCTTCAATTCAATGAGCTTAACGTATTTTTTTTATGTAACTTTATTATTATTATGTAGCTTTTTTATTTTGACAATGCGTTGGACTTCAAATGTTAATGAACAAAGTGTTCTCTAAGATTTTTGATAAAACGCCGTTCTATCGTTTTTTTCTGTGAATATTGTTTTGATGTTCAATGTTGATTTCTTAGTACA